ACAGGGTCAGTCAGGCTTGTAAGGAATTGGTGCTGATAGCAGAGCCTCTGACAGCCGCAAGTGATGGTGCCTAGGGTGGCATTCACTGGTGCTGTACGATTAAGCCATGCATTACCTCGTCCAGAGGACTTAATAGGCGGCTCTAGACGAACGATCCCGCTACTCTTATCCCTATGACGCCCCATGCAACATGGCATTCTTGTGAGAGGTTAATGTGCGACGCTCCTGCGTTTGATATCTTTGCTGGCCGCCGGACAGTGCGTAGCGTGCGTTGCTGCAAGATCTTCCGCTGTGGCGTAGACTTCTAGCATCAAGAGATACATGACAGGGCTCCAAAAGACGTTACGGATGGCTCATGGAAGAACGGAAAACGTCTGACAGATGTAGGGGTTTTCTCGACATCCAGGACCTGGCGACAGGTGCTACGGTACGCCTTCGCTTTCAAAGCTCGTCTTGCACTTTGGATATTCGAGGACGTCAGCACCGTAGCCGGTGGCTTCCTTGCTGCATAGGCCGGAGATTCGAGATTCGTCCCGACACTGAGCGATCGATTGCGATTCGCGGTCTTTCGTGGAGTGTCCGAGTAGTGACGATTTACCAGTGGAGTAGATTCAGGAGCCCCTATATGGTTGAAGAGGTCCCTGAAGTCCTCCGCTGGAATTCTCTTTTCTGGTAGTTTAACGCGCAGTGCCTCACCACCCTAAGTCGCAGGGTGGCATCATGACTGCAAGTGATGTCCTAAAGATGGAGAATGCATGCGGCGGATGCAGCTCTCTTGCAAGAGAGCTGCAAGTGCGTGCAGAAGCAAAGCAGGATGATTGGCAGCTCGCTTCGCGTTTGGCGGCCGTGTCGGCATCGGTACCAGCAGCTGTACCAAGCAACAGCACGGCCCGATCAAGGAACTTCTCTTTGATACTGCCTTGTTGCCTTGTGGCTATCCTGTCATTAACATTTCTCAGAGGCTATTGACGGCAGAAATCATCAATTGAACCCGTTCCAGCAGCCATTCTGCCAGCATGAGGTACGGCCTTGGTTCTTCTTCGACCTCCCTTGCATGCCCCTCCACCCTTGCTCGTAAGCACTAACCAGGCTCTATGTCCATAGATTCGGCCAGCAGCTCCGGACCTCTCTGATTAAAGACTGGTACTACTACTACATCGACTACGACGGCCTGAAGCAGAGCCTCAAGAAACCGTACAAGACCGAGCCGACGCCAGACAACCCGGAGCCAGAGCGCGAAGAATGGACGGAAGAGGACGAGCAGCGCTTCGTGAAGGAGCTGGAGCAAGAGCTGGACAAGGTGTTCACGTTCCAGAAGGTCAAGAGCCAGGAGATTGTGCGGCGGATCAAGGCGTCGGAGAAAGAGGTCAACGAGGTGATAGCGAGGGCGGATCAGCAGGCCGCTGATGAACCGCGCAGTGGGCAGGCGGACGTGCCGACGGAGGAGGACTTTATGCTGCTGGAGGAGGACCTGAGCGATATCATCGCGGACGTGCATGATTTGGCCAAGTTCACACAGTTGAACTATACCGGGTTTCAGAAGATTATCAAGAAGCATGACAAGCAGACGGAGTGGCATCTCAAGCCTGTATTTGCTGCGCGGTTACGGGCGAAACCGTTCTTCAAGGACAACTATGACGCCTTCATCGTCAAGCTGTCGAGGCTCTACGACCTGGTACGGACGCGGGAAATCCCACCAAAGGAGATGCAGCTGCAGGCGGAGGGCAGCAGAACTTCGTCCGACAAACAACAAAGTATTGGGTACATCCGGACAACATTACGGAGCTTAAGCTTATTATCCTCAAGGTATATCACTCGTCTGCGAAACATGACATGCACTGACCACCCCAGCACCTCCCTGTCCTCGTCTTCAACGCCAGCAAAGAGTTCGACCCCAAAGACTCCGCCATCTCCTCCATCTACTATGACAACACCGACACCTGGGAGCTCTACACGGGCCGCCTCAAGAAGACCGAAGGCGCCGAAGCCATCCGCCTCCGTTGGTACGGCGACATGTCGACCGACACCATCTTCGTCGAGCGGAAAACCCATCGCGAAGACTGGACAGGCGAGAAATCCGTGAAAGCACGCTTTTCGCTGAAGGAGAAGAACGTCAACGACTTCATGCACGGCCGCCTGACCGTCGACAAGGTTTTCGAAAAGATGCGCAAGGAGGGCAAGAAGTCCGAGAAAGAGATCTCAGACCTCGAGCAATTGGCGAGAGATCCAATACCGCGTCATCACAAGAAACCTCGTACCGGTAACCCGCTCCTTCTACAACCGCACCGCGTTCCAGCTCCCCGGCGACGCCCGCGTCCGCATCTCTCTCGACACCGAACTCACCATGACGCGCGAGGACAACCTCGACGGGCGCCAGCGCGCAGGCGACAACTGGCGCAGGATGGACATCGGCATCGACTATCCCTTCCCGCAGCTCCCGCCCGAGGACGTCGAGCGCTTCCCGTACGCGGTGTTGGAGGTGAAGCTGCAGACGCAGGCGGGGCAGGAGCCCCAGCCTGGATAAGAGAGCTCACGGCCAGCCATCTCGTGGAAGCCGTGCCGAAGTTCAGCAAGTTCATCCACGGCACCGCGAAGCTGCACCCGGGGCGGATAAAGCTGTTGCCGTATTGGATGCCGCAGATGGACGTCGATATCCGGAAGCCGATCTCGCATCGCTTCGGCATTGAGCGCCCGGGCCAGTCGCAGGATGTGTCGACGTCGGCGAACTATGACGATGACTCGGATGAGGAGGACAATCTCGCTGTTCCGGATGGCGACACCACGGCGCCGAGGCACGAAGAGGAGGACAACGACAACGAGAATCTGCGCCGGCTGCGCGAGGCCAGAGACGCGATGGAGCAGCACGACCTCGACCAGCGCGCCGATTACGGTGCCATGGATGGTCAAGCCGACGGCCAGGCCGACGGCAGCCCCAATTCGCTGGACATCGAAGAACGCATTGCGGCGCGGCCGCTGCAGAATTCGGAGGACTACCCGCTGTACGACTCAGATGATGAGGAGGACGACCTCGAGGAGGCGAGGAGGGCCGGCGGGTGGACGTACCGGAAGAAGCTGCTACAGCTGCGGCTGCGGCGCGCGGGCGAGTGGCTGGGCGGTGTGTTGAAGAAAGCGGTGCCCGCGCCGCAATCGACGTCGATGCCGCGCCTGAGGCCGAGTATGGGCGTGCCGAAGACGATGGGAGAGGCGAAGAGGTTCAAGGCGCCGAAGGGGAAACGTGAGTCTCTTGCTTTTCTTTCTCTTCTAGAGAGGGAGTCGCAATAAGGCCATCACTAACAGACATACCAGGCATACACGTCCCCGTCCGCGTCGAACCAAAGGTCTTCTTCGCCGCCGAACGCACCTTCCTCTCCTGGCTCGAGTTCAGCATCATCCTAGGCTCCATCGCCGCAACGCTGCTCAACTTCGGCGACAACGTCTCGCTGGCCTCGGCGTGGGCGTTCACGATCGTGGCTTGTCTGAGCTTGCTGTACTCGATGGGTCTGTATCTGTGGCGCTCAGACATGATTCGTAAGAGGAGGGCGGTCACGTATCATGATAAGTGGGGGCCGAGTATCTTGTGTGTCGGGTTGTTCGCTGCTGTGGCGGTGTCGTTTGGGATGCGGCTGAGTTACGGAGGTGATGGTGGGGGTCTGAAAGGATGAATGGTCCTTGGACACGTGGGCTGAGTTGGAGGATGCTGTTCGGCCGGTCGCCGTCACCGCGAGATGTTTAGAGGATGTCGGAGATGTACAGCGAGGACCCTCTCTGCGCTGTTGTCACTTGAATCTTCTTCTGTCATGATCCGAGCTAGACAGTAGGTGTGGCCAAAGTTGCACCTTTGTCAGTAATGCAGCGATAGCATGCATCACCTAATGTTTTTATGATACTGGATTGCAGCCACCCTAAAGGGGGTATAGCAAGCATCATCCAAGGCAAACAGATGGACCCGGCACCGTTGTACGTGACAATGCTTGTTGGCCCCAGAAGAGCGAACACCGATGGTTATGGGAATCCTCAACGCCATGACAGCTTCGAAACTTTCCAGACTCCGCGACAAACAAAGCTTTGATACACCTTGATGAGCATCTCTCACCCTGTACGACAAACTGCATTGGTGCTAAATATCTGTGCGCGCTGGTTGAAGTGTCCCTCGTCCAGACTTGAAGATGGCTCCGGCAAACGTAGGCAGACCGCGCTCCAAGATACCCCTAGTGATTGGTGTGAATACATTGATTTGTAAAGCTAGTCTGGGCCGCTCAAGGCACCATTGTTGAGCGTATGACGCTGATTGCTTTGCTGAATGGAGTGCGTTCCTCAGGTGAACGTGGCCAAGGGGTGTCGCTGGTGGGGCAACCAGTGCCCTCGCGTACTTGAGTAGGCGTGAACGAAGCCGTATTGGCGGCTGTAGGGCGAGAAATGCCCATGACCGTGAGGACGCTGCAATTCGTCAGGAGCATGAAGAGCTATCGAGCCTGTGATCTGGAGAGCGTAACGCTCCGCTCTATGAGCTGTTCTTGTATCCAAGGCAAGATTTATACTCGCTAGACACATGCTTAAGCCTGATGAAAGCCGCAAGGTCTGCAGCTGAAGCCCAACTTGACAAGCGTAGATGAACTCCCGGCCTTACTGGGCTCTAAAGTGGTATTGAACGAAGAAAATATAGTTCTTTCTAACTCTCTCATCGGCACGGCTATACCAGAGCGGACCGGCCTCGATCAAGGAATATTCATGGAGGTTATAGACTTCATGAAGCTATTTAAAAGGAATTTTGTAAGGCGAAGCAGAGTAACCTGTAAGGTGAAGCAGAGTAACAGTGCCCATCCAACGTGCAATTGCTGTCAGAGTAGAGTCGTGAGCGGTGTCACGCTTTGGCGGGGTCTCCCCGGCCAAAAAGTGACACTATTTCGCATCCATAGCCAGAGAGTCTACGTCATGCACCCAAAAGAAGCGCTAACGCCACACGGAACATGAACTCTGTTCAGCAAAAAGCCAAAAGGAAATGGACTCGCGGGGAATCGAACCCCGGACCACCTCTATGCTAAGAGAGCAGATGCTCAACTGCTAAAGAGGTATTATACCACTAAACCACAAGCCCGACTCGTCTTGTTATTGAGAAGATGAGAGCCGGCTAACAATAAATAAGTCTAAAACAGGCGCAGCTAGGAAGCGATGTAGAGTCCGTTAAGTGTTGCCAAACCACATAGCAAGGCGATACATTTGCATTCATGTGAAAAAACGTCAATCCCACGCGCACGATACTTCAGAGACACAGTGCAGTAGAGCGCTGATCTGCTCAACAGCTTATGATTCTTTCTATTACGAAATCATGCTTGTATTCGTGCCATAACATTACTACGGCTCCCTCTCGGTCTCAGCTCCTCGTTGGATGCCGACTCACCTTCTCAACAACAGGACGAGTCGGCCTCGTGGTTTAGTGGTATAATACCTCTTTAGCAGTTGAGCATCTGCTCTCTTAGCATAGAGGTGCCGCCAGAGGCGGCCGCCGCTACCGCGGCGAGGGATAGGGTTGAAGCTGTAGGAGTACTCTGCATTGTAAAGAGCACAAGGCATTCACAGCATGCTTGATGAGAATAAGGGCGGTTTGGCGCCTGAGTAGAAGTTTGGGAATAGCGGCTCAGCTTAACTTTTGGTATAGATCATGACTCTAACCAAAGCCCAAAGACGTCTGGTCTGGTAGTCTTACCCGCTTCCAATGCAGTAGACTCGCCCCAAACCCGCTGATCGAGACGCCGGTCTGCCTGCTATCCTGGTCCACCATACGCCTCACCATGCAGGTAGGTAACTGAAACATATCGCACAAACCCGAAATCAGAATAGAAACTCCTCAGCAGCCCAGCACACACGGCAAGATACCGCTCAGCCATCCTCATACTTCTCAAACTCTGCCATCATTTGCGCCTGCAACTCCGCATCCTCGTCTGCATCATCCTCGCCGGCGGGAGGAACGAGGTTCGCGTCATCATCGTCACTGATCGGTGGATCGTCCTCCGGGCCCGTCGCATCTGGACCCGGCAGACCCAAGGGATTTTCATCCGTGGCGGCAGAAGTGACATTAGTTGTGAGGCTCGACACGCGGTCCATCGCTCGCTTCTTCCTCCGCTGTAGCTGCGAGCCCGGGACCCCGTTAGCGGCACCATCGCCGTCTTCTGTGTCCGTAGACTCTGCGGAGTCTATATTACGTTTGCGCTTCTTGACCTTCCTGCCCGAGCCCGACTTCTCAACATCCGACTGTGATTCCGTGGCGCTGGCATCGTCGTCCAGATCATCCGCCGTATCAGTGCCGTTATCGTCGTCGGTATCATCGTCGTCCTCTGCCATGAACTCATCCATTTCTTTCGACATGGCGTCCCAGTCCTCGGCAGTGACAGACACTCTATCGGCGTCGTCGCTAGCCCGGGAACGCATTCCATCCTCGTCCTCTGACAGCTCATCTTCGGAGCCTATCGGAGGAGTTGTGCCGTTCTCGTCGTCAGAGGAGAGGAAGGTGCCGTCTTCGGAGTCTGGTAGGGGAGAGGTCTTCCCCGGCTTGTCGTCTGGGTCGATGTGCAGAAGGTACGGTTCTTCGTCTGGCCGTTCATAATGTGTCAAGGCGTGGTCGAGCCAGGCCCTGTACACAATCTTGATGCCGTTGCGGGCCGCTTGCTTGATCTTCTCGGTCCGTCGGTCGCTGGCCACGACGAGATGAGTGGTCTTCTTGCTGAGGCGGTTTGAAACACGTGCGCCGAGGCTCTTAGCCCACATGGATAGTTCCGCACTGAGTTGGTGTTAGCTTAGGTTAAGTTTGGCATTGCAGAACACAACTTACTCTTGAGGATTGATGCTCAGCATGAAGATGCCCGAAAAAACGAGTGACACACCGTCCAAGATCTTGCTCACCGTGTTCGGCAGAATCTCCTTGATATCGGGCACTAGCTGAAGATCGTCCTGAGGCCGTGTCTTCGAGCCTGGTTCGCTTCCTTTAGGCTCTGCAATCCCTCCGCCCTGTGCATCAGCTAGTCTACGATCGTACTCCTCGTAGAACGCAGTGTGTATTCTTCGAAGAATGCGCTCTAGCCCTATCAATGTGGTATCGTCGTTTCGAAGCAGCACATGCCGTGGCTTGGGGGTTTTGGTACGTCGTCTTCGTCAGACTCCCCATCTTGTTCTTTCTTCGCTTCCTCTTCGTCTTCCTTGTCCAAGGTTTCCTGCAACTTCGCCAGTGGTCGTGCGTCCACTTGAGCAGCGACAGCCTCTTCCTGCCGCGCCGTCTGTTCGTGCAGGAGGTTAGGATCATTGCCACCACTCATAGCGACCAGCTGCTGTTCTATATCCGTGCCGTCTCCATTCGACTGAGGAGCCGCTGCCTGTATTTGCGCTGAAGGTCTTCGCGACTTATTTGCGTCCACTTCCGGCGTTAAATTCGTAGCTTTATCTTTATCTAAGCCCTCCGCAGCAGCTTCAATGGATTTGGCCAAAGTCTTGTCCATCTTCTTCTCCGAATCTTCCGGCCGCTTGGGCAAGAAGGCCGAGTTAATGTCGCCAACACCCTTGAAGAAGTCAAACACTTGAACTTTGACGAGGTTGGGGCTCCACCGCCAGACGTCTGCGCGATCGTCGATTATCACCACCATCTTTGTATCGACCGGGAAAAGGCGATGTAGGCTCTTCAGTGACATGTTGCCGCTCTCATCTCTGCTCAAGACCCTGTCGCCAAAGAGCTTTCTGTCACTGTCCACGATCGCGCAAACGCCCTGCGCGTAGCCTCTAGTAGCCGCAGTGTAGACATGTAGCTCGTACAGTTTCGATATGTTGTCCAAAAACTCCGTCAAGCCAGGCCGGCACTTGATGTAGTATGTGTCCGCTGTGCGTCCCGGTATCTCGCTCTTCAGCAGGAAGGAGTGGACATCCTTGACCGCTTCGTAGTTTGGATTGGTCGGATCATTCTTCCACTCGTCTATTGTGCGTTCGACACAAGCATGGATGATTGTGCAGTCCAGATCGACGACGAGGGAGAGCTTTCGATTCTGCAGTAACCGGCGCTTTGCTTCCTCTTCGACGCGTGAGGCCTCTTCGTGACTGACGGTGAGCGCAGTATTAGCGTGGGCCATGTTGATGGGTGCACGTTCCGAGTCGCGCATAGATTGAGCGTACGTGACACTTTGTCCTGCGTCAGTAGATTCAGTAATGCTCAAGAGCGCACTGGGCTTACGTGGTCATGTCCTTGCCGCAGTCGGCGCACATGCCGCCGAACTGGAGCTCGTGGCGACATGGCTCCTCTATCTCGACGAGGGGGTGCCTAGATCCAGTCAGTACATCCTCGTTGCATTCTCTTCTGCTGCGTCTGCCACCTACCCTGGCCTCTCTATGACATCGCCCGCAGCGATCGACCACCTGACCACCTCCCCATCCGTCTCAGACGCGAAGTGAGTCGGAAGCCGCTGCTCGACCTTCTTCGGATTTCCGTCTCTATCACTTAACGTGACCACTGAGGTGTAGGTGTACGAAAACAGCGGCGCAAGCCTCTCGACCGTATCGCCCGGTTGTTTGAGGAGCTCCGTAACCGTGATCGGATAGAAGAGGTTTCTAGGCGATTTGATAAACATGCCTCCTCACATGCTCGGACGTTGGCTACGTGGATCGCGGTGGGTTTCTCGGGGAGGGGTTGCTTGGAGCTTCAAGCTTGAGCTGCTGTGCGCGCGCGTGCGCCGGTAGAGTAATGCCGCAGGTTCGTTAGGCTTGTAGAGGGGCGCAAGGACGGTGCAGATGGATTCCGTACGCTTAGAGGGCGACGCGACTGCAATTGAGCTGTTGGCGATGGCGGGTGAATTATTATTGTCAGGCAGAGCTGTCGCGCGGTTGACAGTCCGGCGACAGGAGCTTTGACGTGGTGTTTGCCGATGGCGCCGCGAGTGACAAGACGCCAAAACGCGGCTGCTGTCGGGGGTTTTATGGTCGAGGCCAAGGCCTGTGCGGGCCCGCATCGCAAACGGCCGCGATCTTCAACCACCACATCACCTCCCCTCACGCGACCTGCACTGCAGATATAGCGGCTTCACCTCCGCAATTTAGCTTAACACAGGTACCTGCCCAGATCCGAGAATGGGAACAGGTTCACTAACTGTGTATAGACACAAAACATCAATAGCAGATCAGATGTGCCGCTGGCGGCCAGAGCTCAAAGCTGCTGCCTAGGCCCCTGGGAGCTTCGCTGAGGAGTTATATATCACCATGTAGAGTAAGGTAGCAGTCAGGCTGTACCGAACAGCAACGGACACGAAAACCCAAGCACGGTATACGAATGAACCACAATTTGTACAGAGCGGAATGAAGCTGTGATATCGATGCAGTAAAAACCCCCAGACGCTTACACCCTCACCCAGTTGATACAGCCGAGAAGTCCATGCTTGCCACTTAGAAGACGATTTTTACTAACGTTAAGCCCCTGCCGTCGCTCACTTCTGTGCAGCCTTCCTGTCCTTGTCCAATTGCGACTGGGTGATGTTAAGGCCAAGCCCACCCGCATCCAAGTATACCTTGTTCTGGCTGCGCTCCAAGATCTGCGCAACGTTCCTGGCATTCTCGAACTCTCGCAGATCGACGTAGCTGCGAGACTTCTTGATGGCGTCACCAATCAGCTCAGCCGAGCGGGCTTCACCCTGTGCACGAACAACCATGGCTTGCTTCTCTTGCCGAGCCTTGTCGACGACGAAGGCGGCGCGCTGGGCTTCCTGCTGCGCGACTTGCTTGGCTTCGACGGCGGCGGTGAACTCGGGTGAAAAGGCGAGGTGCTGCAGATGTGATTAGCTAACTTGTTAATCCACCCGACCTGAGATGAGTCTGAACCTACCGTCAAGGACACATCGTCCAGCATAATGTTGAACCGAGCGGCTCTCCGTACAAGGTTGTCGCGGACCAGTCTGGAGACGTTCTCACGCTGAGTGATCAACTGGCTGGCATTGAATTGCGCGACCACGCTCTTCAGCACCTCATTCACGATTGACGGCAGCACCCTCTCGTCGTAGTCTGTCCCAAGTGTACGATAGATCTGCGGCAGCGCATCGACACGCGGCCTCGAGAGCACACGGCAGGTGATGT